GAACGACGTCAGGAAGATGGAAGTGCAACGTAGCGCTCTGGCGGAGCACTGCGAGAAGCACGACCATAAAATTGACTTAGACGGCGCTTCTGTTATTGAAACAGAACGGAATTTGGGAAAGAGGCTCTTGCTCGAGTCTTGGCACATTCAGCATACGCCTGCCAACGTGAACCGCTCGCTGGGAACAATGCCTTCGGTGTACGTTCACGGTCTCCGAAACGTGGTGGAAAGGGAAAGCCGGAGCCGTGGTGAGAGAACACGACGCGACGACACTTCCATGACCAAGACAGTCACCCCCTGAGGAAGGGACCGAGTCGGTCCCGAAACGTCGGGCTCTTTTTGAACTGTGGCTGGAGCAATTTCAATTTTCTAAAGACCGAAATGCTTTTAGGGGTTGCTGATACTGTGCAAGCACACTTGTGAAAGTTAAACATCATGGTGTAAAATAAAGCTTTAGCGTATTTTAACTTACAAGTCAAGCTTATTGCCTGATTCAGTAATGAACACGAGCGACTATAGAGGAGACTTATCAATATTTTCAACAGAAAATCTAGTTTTTTACAAAATGGTTGTGCTTATACCAGCATTTAGCCGACAGCAACCAAGTGGTTACGCTGGTTGCTAGGCAGCGGTGAGAGGGCTTCAACACAGAACTAGACAATTTGCCTTCACAAAAAACATAGAAGTGCTGCACCAGCCTTGATTTGTAAGCACTTTTTTGTCAAGGCAGACAATAATGCCTGTGTGGTTATGCTGTAAGCCATGTCGAAAGATTTCCCATGTGAGCCATTCCATGCAGGTCAAGAACACTGTGTCATTGATTGATGAAACGCCATAAGTGTTCCTTTCTCCTTTTCAAATATTTCATACCATTTCATTCAAAAAGTTACGGAATATCCGTGTGCTGGTCAGCATCGTGATGTAATCGACATATTGTTGAAATATTTCACTATTGATGTGCAAATACGCTTATCACATGCATCTGAATACAGAAATATATATACTCAAAAGCATATTTTTGATATTCTGTCCCGAAACGCTTGTATAGCGATACCCTATAGTCCTGCACGCTACACACTTCAAATACAATATGGGCAGTTTGTTGATGCTGTGACTCACACTGAAGAAGATTTATGCCTGAGACTTTTGTAATTAGGATGGAACTTTCAATGACGCACTCCTTACGCGATTCGCATTGTGTGACACCTGGTTGTGGCTTTACTTTTTTAAACACTCTTGTATACATGTTAATGCAATTCCCTACCCTATGTTAGGCCTGTGTAGGGTCAGCTTGCAATGGAGTTTGAAGTCCCAGTACAGCTCAGTTGTGGAGTACTGGGCTTCCACGCAGATTGTATAGGTTCGATCCTCATTCTACCCCTAGAAAAACTTATTTATTGACTTTTTTATTTCGTGCCATAGTTGTTACAGACAAAAGGAGTGGCAGAGGTGGCAAAGAACCATGGCACTGAAATGGACGCTTGTTGTGATCTCATACGAGCTATCATTATTATGAAATCCCAACCAGCGCCCACAACAAGATCCAGCTAAAACAATTATCATTTTAACATATCGATCGCAAACAATAAAAAAGTTAAACCTACAAGATATTGGTCGGGGTAACAATACGTAGAATGAATATTGTCTAATTCCTTTGTCAAATTTTCTTATGGCCCCGTTAAACTGTTATTCTTAAAGCAAACCCCGATGCTGTGCTCGAGAACTTCAGGACTGTAGCAAATCATTTGGTTTAAATTACGCACACAACGCGAACATTGCAGATTGTTCTGGAAGCTATGTGGCTCCTAGTGATAACGTTAACACATTCAATAGGATATGTATAAATGCCCCTGCGCTTCATTTCTTCTCCGTTGACCGATGGCCGACGCGCCGTGCACCGCTATCAATGGCAGTATGTTGCTATGTCCCGACTTTCTATTTCTCGCCAAATAAACAGTTTCGTTCTACGACAAGCTGTTTTCGCATTTCTCAGCGTCAGAACCCCGTGAGACCTGACGGTGGTGCTACTTCTTTCATGCACCAGATCCAGCCGTCAGGGCGTGAACCCAACCCTCGCCGCGGAGAAAACACAGACGTGAGTTATGAGGAGTGAGTTAGCCAGAGGTAAAAAGGTCTACCAGAGTGCAGGCTTCATAAGACCTCGACCACAGCAAGACTGTGACAGCGCCTGGGCCGACTGCTCTGATCCCGCTCCGGTAAGCTAAGGAGCCGTAAAATTTCCGTGGTTCACTACTCTAATTCCCGAAGAGCTGGCTTAAAAGGTACGACCAAGTTGCTCTTTTGAACATCTCGACCAACGATGAGAAGCCGCGGCACGTTTATGTCGCCCTGCAAGATTCCACGTGCACATGGTTTGAAAACCAAGAGCGTACCCTGACACGTTGGACATCTTTTGCCCGAGGTTATTCGCCACAATCACGAGCGTCGTCAGCAAAGAAAGTGCCGAGGTAATTCACCAAACGCACGTCCCGCTCCCAGACGAAAGGATCGCACTTTTCACGGAAGGAGTGACCGAACTTTTTCACCATGCAGATCTAGTCATGTCCAAAGAAACAAAATTCAGCTTACCTATGCGAGTTCCAAAGCAAGAGCTCTTCGTTGGCCTATTGTGGGACCCATCAAACCTGTACAAGAATTTGTCTCGGAAGCAACCTCAGTTGACAAGACACTGAACTTTGCGCGACCACCAGTACGATTGCCGTTCGACGCCACAGTTTGCCGCTCTTCAAGGGTTCAGCTCCGCCGACCTGCGTGAAATGGTCAGAGCGATCCTGCAGGAAGAGCTGCAAAAACTCCTGCTTTCGTCGCCACATCAAGTCATTGCTGACGTGGTGTGACGTGAGATCCAGTAATCTCTGCACGTTCCTCAGCAAGCAGAGCCACAGCCGCAGTCTCTGAGCCACACTGCTGCAACGCAACGTTACGCTCCACCTCCACGCCCAGGTCGAGAAGCCGCACTGTCGCGGTTTCGCCGCCAGCCCCACCATACCATCCACCCACCGCCCAGTGCAACACTCTGAGGAAAGCCGTTGCGTGGCTTGTCGCCGACTAATGTCTTCTCTGCTACATCGGCGGAGAAACTGGCCTGACGTACAACTGCTACCAGTACTGCTGGATGTGGCTGCGCTTTTCCGACGTCAATGCACCGTGCCGACAACGGGATGAACACCCGCACGGAGTCGCCAACTACAAAATGTAACAAAATTACGAATACCACTAATAGAGGAGTAAAAAAGGTGTTAACCATGCAAAACGAGCAAGGAGAACAGTGACACACCGTCAAGCTCACGGGATAGAACGTGCGGTTACATCACGCCGAGGCATAGTGAAATTGCAGGCAAGACATAGCATGACTCTCCAGCATCCCAGCAGTTCGTTAGCTCATATGGTATGTTGCTTTGTGCACATAATTCTTGATTATATGTGCCTTCCACGCCTCTCTCAACGAGTGATACTCAATTTTTCTACAGTAAACTACTGATGAGGAGTCTGAATGAATTGCGTGTTATCGGCTTATTCTTCTCAATTGAACAATATCACTAGAAGTTGCCCCACTGGAAAATGCCTAACACTAATTTTTATCCTTTGTGCTTCTTCGATATGCGCATAAGCTACATTAAAAGAGGAAATGTTTCATTGCTTCTCAAATTCAATTGTGGGTGACATGGTTTAAACTGAAACCAGCGCCTCGGAATTTGATAACGCTGCGCTATAGTAGCAAGGTCACAATTTGGGGTGTTGGAGATGATGGCTACACAAAGGCAAAAAGAATCCAGTGAAAAGGCACCACTAGTTAATCATACTCTACTTAGAATGGTTTCAGAAACCACAATTGATGAAGAGGAAACACAAAAGAAGTCCAGAGTAACTATAGTGAGCCAGCACGTGGAAACAAGGGGGCAATTATGCCACCAACGCGCTATAAAGTTTTCTGTATATCTTTAGGGCTGTGTAATTCTGCAGCACACTCTAAGAAGTAGAACGAGAGGAGGGGTATCGATGTTTATCTTTTAGGAAGTAATTTGTCTGCCACAGTGATTTCTCTTTTTAGGAGTACATGCGTAGGCACAAACTGTTACTTGGCTCGCCAGTTACGCCTAACAGCGGCTCTGTCCCATTATTTCACGAGGGAGCAACATTAATTTTTTTAACTCGCACTAAAAACATTTTTGTGTACTTAACCTGCATTTCCAGGAATGTTCAGGCATGTAGTTAGATGTACAATCAGTGTAGAAACGTGTACTTCAAAAAATTCAGGTGTTTAACAACAAACGGGCAGGATCCCAACTTATGATCACGCAGCCAGAATGGGCATACACTAACGACTACACTGCTCCACGCCATCACGCAATTTTGAAAGAAACAGGGTATGTAGGAACCAACTGTTCGTTTGTCCACGGTGCGTTCATTTTTGCAGTAAATCTGATAGAGGGCGCTCTCCTCCCTTTACAAAAAGATAGCGCCCTTTTTGGGCTCTCATGTGCAAAGTTTGGCGCACAGTCCTTGTCTTGTAGGAGCAAAGCACCCTTTCCGTATAACTGTTAAGTTACTCCCGAAAACTTTTTAGAGTGTAGCAGTGACATGAGAGCACGTCTAGTTAAGAAGCCAGACAGCTTAAACACAAACGGCATGGGGTGCGTGATCACCTTATTCGCCGACTGCGACCGAGAAGTGCAGACATCAAGAGGAAAGAAAGCGCCCTGCTTACGCGCACTGTTTTTATGACGCAGGCGCAAGCAAGTCACGGGAAGAGAGTCTAGTTTTTTCGAAAATCGAATATACCTTGCTCGGTTTTCTTTATTACTGCTCCTTGAAGTTTGAAACACTGCAGAATAATTTGAAACATGGAAATAGGAAATATATACTCGTATATGTAGCAAGCAAGTCGTATAAGTAGCAAGCAAGACGAACGTCGTGTGGGACTCATTCATTGAAGTGATTTTTTCTTTCTCAAGCAGACTTTTCTAACTTGCTTACAGTGCTTGCCTCATACGTGGTACTCGGCAGTGGACTTGCAGCTTTTCCTCATCTCTCCCTTCTTTATTTCCCTTCTCTACAGGTAAGCTTCATTTAAAGAACGCTGTTTATTCTTCTTTATAGCGCATGTGGACTATAGATATTATTACCTTCTTAAAGCGTATATACGCTTAGGCTGTGGGTAACAGAGAGAAAAATAGCATCTCAATTTCAAATTTTTCGACACTGCCACAGAAGTCATATCTTTTGTGGCACCACATGTTTAAATATTCAAGACACTTAGAACCTGAAGATACCTAATTCAGATTTCCAAGCGAACGAAACGTGACAGATAAACGACTTCAGGGTCCCCGCTGAATATTGCAGCGTTATTTTCCTTTCTCGTTGCAGATGGCCCCGTGTAGGAGTGGCACTATGCGGAGTGCTCATTGTGACTTCAACTACAGCCAGCATTATGTATACGGTATTGCATAGAATGAGGTTAGTATGCAGTTTGCAAGTGTTTTTTTTTTTCATTACAATGTGCTCTGACGTTCACACGGAGATTTCGCGATAAAATTGGCATTCACAGAACAGAACATGACTGTGCCAGCTCGATTGAAAAATACTTCTCCCACACCAATGTGACGAGTATTCAGCTTAGGTGTAGCAGAAATATTGCGCCTCATGTACGCCTGCACACTCAGTTCTGATTACTCCCAGGTGATTTGATAAATAAAACTTCGCACTACGTGCAATCTTTGGCGTTCGTAAACATCAGTACTGGCCTGCGCTACAAATCTAAATAATAAACATCTGCCCTCGAGTCAACAGTTAAAATTAATTACCCAGTTTTTGTTACACTATTCGAACACAGTCAGTTCTTTCCGCCTTGACATAAAGTTAGTGAGCAAAGACGACAGGGTAATTATTGTCACGGGATTTTCATAAGGAATTTGTATTGCCTAAAGAAAAACAGCTTCGCGTGCTGGTTCGCGCGTGCGGCTACGCTACAGTACACCTGGGCCATCCTCGTTTCTTCCACGTAATGCTCACCTCCATGACTGACAATCCGAAACATTTCATGGCTACTTGATGCACAGTTTAGCATCTTTGACAGCCATACACATACACGTACACATACACATTCATAAGTCTTTTCAGTCCTCTTTTATCTCCCTCTCTCTCTCTCTCAACCTCAGCCTCCGTCTTTCATTTCCCTCGAGCTCACGTCACCCTCACTTATGTTGTCTTCACACAACCGTATGCGGCTTTGTAACCATGGTTTTTCTTGCGAAGCGACAGAAGATGGAAGCTTGGAACGGCAGCGTACTGGCTTCATCTACTCTTCTATTTGTAATTTATTTTCCTTCTTACATCACCCAAATCCTTCTCTGCGCCACTTGCCTTTTTCGGCTCGTTGATATACGTGGCTATCATAAAAGTAACTATGATATAGGTAGTATTCCCTGTGTTGCATCGAGAGGCATAGGAAGCCCACGACAGCATACGATGATAGCATACAATACTATACGACTCCACACGTGGACAGCACGCAAGTTCGAGTTTCGAAAGTGCGCCACACTTTGAAAAAATACATAGCACCAGCTGAGACACACCGAATACAAACGGTTGTAGAGTCGATTTTCACTTGAACACTACAATTAGGAAATAAGTATGCTTAACAGAGGAGCCTGCAGAAAGTCCTGCGATTAAGTTATTTATTAAGTATTATCGCTGGCGTGAGGTGCATGAAATAAAACCAAATTCCGCATGCATGATGACGTGAAATATCTATAATATCATGTGATGCCAACACGTCTGAGCAATACTTCTAGTAAATTTATGCATGGCAAGCATATTGATTGCACTCTTATGGTCTTATTTATATGGCAGCACGTGAAATAGACTACGTAAAGACTGCGGCGATTTGGGGGGGGGGGAGATCTCAATCTTATATTTAGTATTACACATAATTAAGATTATGGATTCTTTCAGGGTTTCTGAAATAAGCGTTTCATCTAAACCTTATATGACGTTCAAAATAGCTATATTTGTAAAACGAATTCTCTGCTCATTACTGGTCTTGTGAATCTTAGAGAAATGAACACTGCATTTTGTAAACATGGAAATATGCATACGTTATAAATTCTACAAAAAGTACCAGAAATGTTTTTCTCGTGCTGGCATTCAGACATACAAGTACGTTACTTGTGGTGCTTGCCCACTCCTCAATTCGGTGTACATTTATCTGTCCTAGTTACGATCCGCGTCTCATGAATATGTACTACAGGTGAGAAATACTCTGCCACGGTGTATCAGTCGCTACGGTGCTCTGCTGCCGACCCGATGGGAACGGATGCGATCTTGGCCGCATTTAGGTGGCAGCAAAACAATTGATGCTCGTGTGCAGCGTGACGCAATCGCAGGTTTAGAACTCCAGATTGTCTAGATGGTCCCGGACATCTCTATTATGTCATCTCTATAATCATATAGTGGTTTTGAGACATGAAACTTCACATATTATATTGCAGTTTGAATATATACTTTGATGTAGCATTGTGCCGGTGCACTGTGAAAGCGCAGATTTTTTTTTTATTTTGATGGCTACTTTCACAGGGAGTGGCTGTCTAGAAGGCTTATGGTAAATTCCCATTATTTTTCTTGTTGGGACAGTGTGGTACGTGTATGAGGTCTCGTCAGCTAGTGCTGCCTTTTTAACAACCGGAAGCACAGACATGTCTCTATGGACAGCTACTTAGCTAATGCACGATCAACCTTCGTTGTAATTCTAGAGCATTCACGAAATGACATGTGTGAGTCCGTACATTACTTGGTCCTCTAAATTGTTTTTTGCAGCTCTGTACCTGGCGTCTATGACTACGTTCAAGATGTCTACATAAAGCCACAATTCCGCATCTCGACTTATCTGGCTGGCATTCTTCTGGGTCACTATATGGTGCTCAACAAAGAAAACATCACGAAAAATAAGGTAAATTTGTGGAAGCTATATCGTTAATTATGTGCTTAAACCCTGCTGGAGAAGTGAGACACATGTTCCGATAATTCGTGAACTGTGACATCCTACATATGCGCAGCTAGTTTAGGCAAAAATTAAATGTGCATAAAATATTTAGAAATTGGTTTACGGAGCGGATTTGAAAGAAGGAGGTAAATGGTTTCGGCAGTTGTATATTCTTGATGAACTGTACGATAGTGCATTCATACAAAGTGATTGTGTATGAAGTGTGATCGCTATTTTGGCAGCCATATAAATTGTATTCAGAACAAAAATATGACTGTATATTTCATTTTAAAGAGATTGGCTGAAGTTTTTCGGAGATAAAGACAATTTCTTCTAGCGTAAACCTTCAGACTGCGGGCAGGAAATACACTCCAGTATGTCGTTTTTCTTAGAGTTGCTAATTTCCTTTACATGTCACACAAAAAAATGTGGAATTGGACGTTCAACTACATCACGCAAACTTCGGCCACATGTTCATTCAGAATTTAGTCAAATGGTTTTTTCTTGTTTTTGCCACTGTAGTGCTCGACTATTTCAAAAATTTTATGTACGTAATGCTCACTTGAAAGAAAAGGTCACATTCAAAATACTGTCCTACCAGTCAAAACTGCGAATGCTAGGAGAGTTTGGAGAGTTCGTGACTAATTTAACACTCTAAATGAGACTTTGTGACTAATGTGACACTCTACGAGAGACTAAAACATTTTGCAGACATCTCGTGCCATGAGAACGAATGATGTATAATCATCCATCAGGAAGTTTACTTTGTTGCCCTTTTAAAATGGTGATGACGTTACCAGGTGGATGGATGTATAGCACAGTAAACTGAAATTGTCCTAGTATTCAGGATTCTAAATTGCGTGCATTCGTGAGAACTGGTTGTTCAAAGTTCTGTACCTACGTTATTACTAACGTGCATCCCTACCAGCACCAGCTGCATCTAGGCCAAAATGTCAACGTTTTATTAGTTTATCATGTTGGTGACGCGAAGTGCATGGACAATTCTTCCGGGTATCATGCTAGTGTTACGATGTGGATCGACGGTAAGCGCAGTAGCTGTTTGCGCATTGTGGGCGTACCAAGAATGTGTACTACACTCGCGTCTACCAATGTCTACCCTGGGAAATTATGGCCTGCTTAACTTCAGCACTCATGTTGGTGCGCTTTACGGTGGGACAATGGCAATATCACCAGTAACTGCATTACCGCGTTCCCCCAAGACCGAAGGGCGCTTGAATATGGCCTGCTGAATCCCAGTAAAAGAAATGTAGCATTTGTGAGACATCTATGAAATCGTTATCACCATAAGAACTACAATGAGCGTTACTCCAGCATGGTTTTTGTCATATATTTAAGTGGGTAACGCTTATTGGTTTGTTGTAAAATTTGATAGCCAGAATGCATTCAATTTACGCATGCATGGTGTCTTTTTTGCAAAGAATTTACTGGCCTTCGCGTACCACATCAAACTGTATAAGCTATGTGCCACAAGTGTTTGGGTAGGAAGGGGTATACCGAAATGAGCATAAACGCAGCCCCTCCCGAATAAATTTACTGAATGTTACCCTACGGTTATGTAACTATAAGGCATTAAAGTAATTGGGACGTCCCGCCTGCATTACTAATCAAGAAGTGTTCTCGAAGTCCTCGATTGTGTTAGCATCACCTGTTCCTGAAATGGCGTGGCAGTCCGCGAAAGCTCACCATTGTAATGTTCAGTAAAATTTCTAAACGGGGCTTTGAAATGAACAAATGTTTAGGCTTTCTGCACAGAACTGTAAGATAATGCTGCGTTAGTTACAGTACACACAAGGTCTGTCTGACCTTAGAGAGTTCTAGCACTGGGAGCTAGTAGTTGCTCAAAGGAATGGACTCAATTGTACAAATACTGGCGGAGTGATACACGGCGGTGATTAGCTTCGCCTCGTGTATAATACAAGATCCTAAAGTGTCCTCTACCAAAAATGTTTATTATAAAACGAACCAACACTGCCGAAGTGAACCAATCCTGTCAATTCGGGCAGACAGCTGGGCTTGTTGATGCAGACGAAACCATCACCGCGGCAATCATTTATCCATCTGCCGGCCTGGTCGATACAAATGGAAAATTACGCGTGTAGAGTCTCGTGCGCTTGAGTGGGTTTGAACAGATAAGTGATTGCGCCATAGCTTGCAAAGATGTTTGTTTTATTGCAGCAAGCAAGCAACCGCTTTTTGAAGGAAGTTTGTTTGGTGGTGAGACCATTCAGTAGCATTACTGCTCAATGCAGTAGAGCTAGAACAAAAGATGAAAAATTACACAACATTCATATATTTATATTTCTCCGTTTATTGAGATGTATATTCAGAATAAAAGCCACAATGTTTTTAATGCTGGTTGAGGTCGAATCTCTCAAGTATACAATCGATTATACCAGATGAAGTGATTTCATTTGTTGAGAAGCTGGACAATATGTGAATTTTCACTCTT